ACACTGCCCGCTGAGGAGGACTGTGTCTGTCATCCAAAATAAATGAATGTGTACAATGTATTGAAAAACACATATGAATCTCAGCAATGAGAAATGCTTACTTTTACTGCATTCAGTTTCCACTAAAATGTTAGTTTTTGGTTTCATCTAAGAGCTAATGTTCAATACAGAAGTCAAGCAATAACTGTGAAGTGATGCAATTTTGAATAATTTAATTTTTAAGTCATGTTTCACAGGGGTGTCCAAAGTATACTGTATGTTATTCTGTCAGTGAAATCATTAGCAATCGTTCCAGAACAAAGCGTTTACATGAAACACAGAATAAGACGACTAGTAAACCAATAAGTTTCCAATATTCACAATCCTTGTTTCTTTTTTCTCTTATCCTCCACTATATGTAATTGTTTTTGGTCATTATTTTAGCCAACTTTTACTTTCATAGATTAAAATTCGTGAAGAAGTAACCGCGAACAAAGTAATATTGCACCGGATGGCCAAAAGTCTCCGTTTACATCTAAAAACGACGCAATAAAAAATTAGTTTCTTTTTTTTGCCTTTATGCATATATTATGAAACGCTCACTGGAGTTGTATGTCATGATTACATTACAAATTTTTTTTTTTTTTAAATAAAAGCTTAAAAAAAAAGAAGAAAAAAAAAAGCTTGTGAAACCGTTACACCGGAAGTGAACCGTGCCGTTAACCGGAAGTTCTTTCATTTTAGCTTAGAACGAAAACTGTTTGCTTATTTTCCCCATGGTGTCTTTCTGAGCACCAACACCAACTCTTATTTCTGGCCTGAAAGACACGCTGCGACACATAAAGAGACCGGAGAGCTGTGTGTTGAACATTCACCGTGTAGTCGACTGAAACCCTTAAACGAAGCTAAACGTGGTTTGTGTCCTGAGAGCAGCTTTGCCATCAGACACTGGGAAGCTAACATAGCGTTAGCTGCATACCGAACTTTGATAGTATCGTTTTCGTCAGGAATATCCAAAAGGTAGAAGGTAATGTACATAATTCTTTTGACAATGACGTTTATCTTTTGTCACGTTGAGTGTCTGTGTTATTTGTCGCTTCTCGGTGCGTTAGTTTGGGTTAACACTTGCAGCAGACGTGGACTGAATCTAGCAACCAGCAGTCACAACAACTACGCAAATCAGGACTGTGTGTGTAATATCGTGCACAGTTTTACGTGACCACAGCAAATTCTTGACTGTTTAGTCGTTGGAGACACAAAGGGGATTAGAAAGCATCCCCTCCATTTTCTGTGCAGCAACTACACGTCAACAACTTGCGTTTTATAATTCCTGCTTCACTGTCGGTAGCTTTTTAGCTAACTTTCGTCAGGTGCCTAGCTAGTTGTTAGCTCGTTATCTATTGTTCTGCACAGCTGAACATGTTAGGGGGCTCAGGTCTACAGTATTAAAGACTGGATTCGTACACAGTCTGCTCCTTCTTGTGTGAGCTAAACTAGCTTCGTCTTGACTGATAGCCGGACCCTTAGCCTTTGACCTCGTTGTGGCACTTGCAGTTCAAACGGCCTTGGGAGTGATTAATAGCAGTGATCTCTTGTGTTTATATATATTTTTTGCAATCGTTAAGACAGTGTTGCATTAAGTCTTCTCACTGCACACATTTGCATTAAAAGCACATTGACAAGGGCTCCTCTGTTTAAGTGACATTTTTGACTGTGAGCCTGCACAGTGGAGATCCTGCAGCTTCACACAATAAGAGTCATCATTAATTTTATGTGCCTCCATGCTTCCTGGTTACATGCTCGAAGAACACAGACAACCAGGATTACAGATATCACCAGTACAGTTTGGCGTAGTTTAATATATAATCAGGTAAAGCAACACCTGGATAGTACATGTTCCCTGATCTCAAGCTACCTGCTGTGTCCTGTGAAAAGCATCTAAACACCATTTGGTAGTTGGGTCCGATATCATATTTAGTTTGCTACCATATGTTTACTACATTATTTTGTGTGTAAAATGGAATGGAGAAAAAAAAAGGTCTTCATTGCATTAATTTCTGGTAGAAAGTACACAGTACTACTACATCTCAATAATTCCAGTCACAGTTCATGTTCTAAGGTTTAACTACAACAGATGTGAGTACCACGTCGTGAAATATCACCTAAATGCATTATTTCCAAGCTAACAAGAACTGCATTTTATCTTACAAGCAACCAAAAACAAATAGTTTGGAACTGATACAACAAAAATACAGGCACAGATTACAGATTTATAGGGTGAGCTGTAGTATCGTTATACAGAGTAACAGTGGCCTTCCTCCTTTAATGACACCATGGACAGTGCCGGGGCTGGGCGATATGATTTTAGTTAAGCTTCATGTGATTACATGTGCATATGGTAACCTGGTCACTTCAACTCAAGATCAAAGATCGATCTCACAAATCTGTGCATCATGTTTTTGCTCTGGGTTTATTCAAAAAGTTCTGACTTGAAGTAGTGGTTTACATTTCCGCCATTTTGGTGCTTGTTATGAAAGTTCAGTCGCTCCTTAGAAGCTAGTCCTAGCGTGTCCTGTCTCATGTTTCCTTTACTGTCAGTCAGTAAATCACCAAAGAATCCTGTTGCACTACCTCTGTGCATTACTATTATGTGCAATTCTTCAATTTCACGTGCAATATTGTATTGTATTCAAACTGGTCCCTAATTTATTACGTGGCTTATTTCTGTTCTCATAGTACTTTTGATCTACATAGTACTTTTAATTTCTATATTTATTCTTGTCTTGTTATTGTGATGTACCAGCCTCATTCACCACGGCTAATTCCTTGTGTGTGCAAGCTCACTTGGCAATTAAAAGCTTTCTGATTCTGATTCTGATTACTGCAGACTGATTGTTATTCAGCTGTCTCTCCAGTGACACTCTCGTCCCAACGACAGCCTCCAACTCCACTGTCTTGGATTGCAGTTGGTGACGGTAGTCCTTGTTATGCTCTCTCTCTGTGAGATCCACTGTGGCTGCTGTCCGCCTGACAGGAGTCGTGATACAGAAACACAAGAAGGGACCGGCTGAGACTAACTGGTTGGCTGAACTTTCAAAAAAGAACGCTCAAATATAGCACCCTTAATGACGCGATCTGTAGATTCCTCTAAAAAGCAGGTCATATGCTAAATTGTCAGTTTGCCAACGCCTTGCCAGTGTGGAGTTACAGTCAACCACTGGAACACTGATGGGCAGGTGCTTCACACTAAACACAGTAGTTATCAATAGACGGTGGAGTTTCAGTGACAGCTATTGTTGTATTTATAACAAAAATTGTTATATTTAACCTCAATTTTTATGCCCAACACTGATTTGTGATTGCAGTGCAGGTTAAATATTTGACATCGCTGTAGACTTGGAGGTGGCAGAGTTATCATTGTAGAAGAATGTTCTAAAATGTGACTTGACATTTGCAGTAGAATCAAACTGGTTTCAGCAAAAATGTTTTATAGTCTGGCTCATTGATTTAAAGATTGCCCACAATGACCTAATGCTTCCAGTGTTATGAAATGTTTGAGCCTTGTGGTTTTTTTTTTCTCCTGACAGTACACTTGAATTGCTTTAACAGTAATAAGCTGTGGGTATTGTGTTGTTGCTTTTATATTAAGGATTCTACTCACTTATATTCACTCAGAAATGACTTTCTATCATTTATACATATGATCCTCCACTCTCCCCAGCTCATCGGTTGGAGAAAGGAAGACAGCTGGAGTTGCAGGGATTCTAGCATCCCTTGTCACCGTCGCCCCCTGAGATGACATCACAACAACCACAGCTCCCCAACGCTGTCATTCCTCCCCAGCTTGCTCAGAACTCCTCTGCTCAGCATGCCCGGCCTCACATTCAGGCCAACCAGCTGGACTCAAGTCAGAGCAGTGCAAATGCTGGGCCTCTTGAACACAGAGCTCTGGCAGGCAGACCAGGCTGCTCCGGTGTAGCAGCCGCCAGTGGGGCACTGGCCAACAGGAATGTTTCCGCTTCCTCCACCAACTCCAGCTTGTCCAGAAGAGATGGGGGCTTTGAGCCATGGCCGGAGGAAGCAGTGGACAACTCCCATGGGCTATACTCACTCCACCGCATGTTTGACATAGTTGGAGCCCAGCTAACGCACCGGGATGTCAGGGTACTGTCGTTCCTTTTTGTTGATGTCATTGATGAGTATGAGCGTGGTGGCATCAGGAGCGGAAGAGATTTCCTGCTGGCGCTGGAGCGCCAAGGTCGCTGTGATGAGACCAACTTCCGGCACGTCCTCCAGCTTCTGAGGATTATCACCCGGCATGACCTTTTGCCTTATGTCACACTCAGGAAACGGCAGGCTGGTGAGTAAAGCAGTGTGTTCGCTGTGAGCGCATCAGACTTAAACTCTGATTGGTTGTGAGTGGGGCAGGGGTTAGCACCGTAAGCAGGTCCTGTGAGGTTCTGAGTTTGAATCTCCTGGTTGGCAGGGGCCTCTCTGTGTGGAGTTTGCATGTTCTCTCTATGCCTGTGTGAGTTTAATTGAAGACTCGGTTGGCTGTAGGTGTGGCTGTGAGCATGCATGTTTGTCTGTGTGGGCCGCTGGAGATGCTCCAGCCCCCCAGTGATCCTCTACAGCATCGGTGTCAAACTCAAACACACCGTGGGCCAGTTGTGCATGTTTTCCTTTCTCTCCAGATATTTAATGATAAACTTTTTCACATGGTAACAAACTTAGGTTTAGCTGAAACATTAAATCTGGACTAAGTAAAGCTAAATTAAGGTTTGTCCTTTACATTCGTGAACAGATAGTCTGCCTCCCACCTGTCTTGAAAGCTGCTGTTTTCCATTTTTCGTTTGGTCATTTTTTTATGAGGGGTGGCTTTCATTTTCGGCTGCAAGGTGGCTCGGTGGTTAGCATCGTTGCTAATGCTATGAATGCTAATGAACAGAAGGGGTAGGGGACGCTTGCGGGTCGTCATTGACACGCCAACACACTAGCAGAGCATTCTGGGATGTGTAGTATTAACGATGTATACGCTGTATACCGGCGGGCCAGCTCCAAGAGACGTGGGCCTGAGTTTGACACCTATGCTCTACAGGATGAAGCAGGTGTAGATGATGCAGTGAGTGAGTGAGTGAGTGAGTGAGTGAGTGAGTGAGTGAGTGAGTAAGTGAGTGAGTGAGTGAGTGAGTGAGTGAGTGAGTTTGCATGGTTGTCTGTCTCTCTGTTTTGGCCCTGTGATGGACTGCTGACCTGTCCAGGGTGAACTCTACCTTCACCCTAAGGCAACTGGAATAATCTCCAGCGCCCCTGAGACCCTCCAGAGGATAACTCACTGTGTGACAGTATCACTCTTCATCTTTTCCTTTTAATGCCGAACAACAATTCTCGTCCTTTCTTTGTTTCATGGTGGCTGGCAAATAATGAAGTGATGCGCTACATGCAGCACATACAGCTTTATTGTGTCTTGAATTTCTCTAAGCTTCCCTTTAGCACCCTTGTTTACACATTATTGCTTGGAACAGAGATATGACGGTATTTCCAGCCAGCAAAAGAAAAAAAAAAAAGAACATGCTGGTGTGTATTTGACTGAGGTGACGAGTGTAATGTTGCAGCGCTGTCCCCTCATGTTCCACTGGTTTGAGGATGATTAGCATTGCAATTACGAACCACTTCAGAAATCAGATGTTGTTTTCAGTGTGCCCAGATCCTGTTGATAAGTACCTGGAGGAGACATCAGTACGCTACATTTCACCCAGAGGAACAGCGCAGAGCAAGGACACTGCACCTCACAGACGAACAGGTGGGTCACTAGGTGTCAGGCTGTGTGTGTTTAAGTGTTTTTTGTTTGTTTAACAATGTGCCTTTTTATTTCATCTTTTAACTTCATAACTAATGTCCCTCTCCAGGTCCACAGCCAGTTATTTGTTGTTCCCCATCAGGATCACACGTTGGCCCCGCTCGAACAAAGCCAGCTCCCTCTGTACCAAACCGCAAACGAAAGAGAAGTCATTCCTCAGCCGACTGCAGAGAGAAGCAGACATGTGGTAAAAAAATATGCACGACATAAAGAGGGATTTTTGTTTGTGTCAAAGTGTATGAAAATCAAGACAACATCACTACATGGCTTTAGTGACCGTTTGCTTTTTCCAGTGAGCTAAATGTCATTTTATTAAGAAAGATGGTTTCAATAAACAGGATTAGAGAAACTGGGTTTCCTTTGGGGCTGCAAGGCGGCTCGGGGCATAGCACTGTTGCCTCGCAGCTAGAAGGTCGCCGGTTCGCATCCCGGTGAGGACACCTTTGCAAAATGAAATGATTGCTTGTTTCAGTGTCACCAAAGGGCTGAAGGAGAGTCGGCTACTTTAGAGACTTAATTAGCCCCATCCGTCCTGCGTTGTTATGATGATGATTGTTTTTCAGCTTCTACTGTTTAAAGCCGTCCTCCACGATGCACTGTGAAATCCCAAAGGGTTTCCGTTAGCATACTACTTACTCCATGCATCACCATCAGTACGATTTATTTTGTGCTTCAGGAGACGCTGACATTCCTGCCCTTTATTGTCTCAATACCTTATATCTGTTATGACCAAGTATCTACAGTGACTTAAAGGCTGAGTGTGATAAGTTGTCTTTTTATTTTTAGTCTGTCTGTTGCCCTATTTTGTTTTATTTTTTTTACACTTGATCACCTGGAATAATGCCACTATTGCACATTATTTACATCTAAGCAGCAGAACTAAAAACTCTCTCTAGTAGCCTACTTTACAAGTCTGAAAAAATGACCCAGACGAAATGTGTTGGTTTAATAAAGCTATGTGTGATCACCATGACATAACTAAAGATAGAAATCATCAGCACACAGCCACTCTCTCCTACGTCTGGAAACTGTATTGATCCCACACGTCCTACATGTGTTTGTTCGACACAGTGTCTGGAAGTGGATTTTAAGCGTTATCTCCAGAGCTGAGCCCTTGCAGCAGCTGGGTGGTAAGGTTGACAGCTTGATCCCAGCTCCACCATGTGCCAAGTGTCTTTAGTTGCTCCGATGGTAGGCCTTTATGGCTGCTCCACCACCATCGGTGTATGTGTGAGTGTAGATGGGTGAATGAGAAACACCTCGCTAGGGTTAAGAATATGCTGCATCAGTGCAGAGCGTTTACCTGTAAGATGTGCTCTGCTTCAGATGCACAGTAAGAGAGCAAGGAAGGTTTCAGAGGCATGCCTGTAAAATGCTGTCTGATCAGCCTGAACACAACTTTGACGTGTGACCTTCATATGAGCACCAAAGTGAAAACACTCCACCACAGGGCAGCAGGAGACCACTAATAAAAGAAAAACAGATAAATGTTGACATGATAGTTTACATCCCATCTAATACAACTGCTCAAAAAAATAAAGGGAACACCTCAACAACACAGTGTCACTCCAAGTCAGTCACACTTCTGTGAAATCAACCTGTCCAGTCAGACACCAGGTGGAGATGAGAGGCAGTTAGCAGAACCACCCCTATAAAGGAGAGGTTCTGCAGGTGGTGACCACAGACCATGTCTCTGTTCTCGTCCTTTCTGCCTGATGTTTTGGTCACTTTTGCATTTTTGTCAGTGCTCTCAGCCCTAGAGGTAGCATGAGGCGGTGTCTACAACCCACACAAGCTGCTCAGGTAGTGCAGCTCATCCAGGATGGCACATCAAAGCAAGCTGTGGCAAGAAGGTTTGTTGTGTCTCTCAGCCTGGAGGAGATGCCAGGAGACGTGGAGGGGGCTGTAGGAGGTCAACAACCCAGCAGCAGGACCACTACCTCCTCCTTCTCAACTGGAATATTTCATTCATTGAGATCTAGGATGTTTTGTTTCCCTTTATTTTTTTGAGCAGTGCGTATCTGATGTGGTTTTTGCCGTCATTTGGAGCATGTGTTTGTAACCAGGAGCATAAACTGATCAGCCACTTGACTACAACCCTGCTATACTCGGGTCTTTTTCTTTCCGCTGTTGCCAAGTTCTTGCTCAGAGGGAATTATTTACCTACAAGACCTAGTCATCCAGCTGTTGGAGTTAGGCCCAAAGTCATTCAGAACCTGCTTCCAATACATCAATCTCATGACCTGACTGTTGACCAGCTGCTGAATATGTCCCACCCCTTTGACAGGAGCCAGTGCGATGATATGAAATAAAATAGAATTCAAAAATATGCATGATGATCATTGACGAGGAGGTTCTAGAGAGTCTTGAGAATCTTTTATTGAAAATCGGTGTGGGCTTTTCCAGTTAATTCTTTTTTTTTTTTCCTCTATTCTTTTAGATATTCGCCTCCGAGTTCGGGCTGAGTATTGCCAGCACGAGTCTGCGCTTCAAGGAAACGTCTTCTCCAACAAGCAAGAGGCCGTGGAGCGCCAGTTTGAGCGCTTCAACCAGGCCAACACTATCCTGAAGTCCAGAGATCTGGGCTCCATCATCTGTGACATCAAGTTCTCTGAGCTGACCTACTTGGATGCCTTCTGGAGGGACTACATCAATGGATCGTTGCTAGAGGCCCTTAAAGGGGTCTTTATCACAGATTCCCTAAAACAGGCCGTGGGCCACGAGGCCATAAAACTCTTGGTCAATGTCGATGAGGAGGACTACCAGGCTGGTCGACGCAAACTTCTCCGTAATTTGGTCACAAGTGGAGGGAGCCCACCGGTGGGTAACAAAGACTCGGTATCTTAGACACACCCTCCACGTGGTAGCATACAGGAGGAACACTGCTGTGCCTCCGCCCCAGGGAATAGGCTGAGATGTGGTGGTGGTGGTGGTGGTCGTTTGAGGTGCCTGAAGTGCGTGCCTAAAAGGAACTGATTAATTTGCAGCCACCCCATTAATTCCCTGAGAGCTAAGATCATAGAATACCTACTTGGCACCCTTAAGCATAGCATGCAAGGAGATCTGGAACTACGTTAGCGAAAACAGGCGATGCATACAGATTGGCATTATTTTGAATGTTAAGCAGTTCATGTTCTCGAAGGTAAAGGTAATGCGGATCTTATGTGTGCATTCAATTTAGCTAATTTCTGGCTTGTGGTAAGTTGGCTCATCCAAACACCTCGGTTAACTCTAACGATGCTCTTCACTCCTGTTCTACAGTGAAGTTATTTTCAATACAGGAAACACATTGACTAGTTACTCCCAGTGGGAGTTGAACCTTATTGTCAAACTAGCTAATTGCTTTTCCCGGTTTTTCAGGTACATTACAGATTGAATTAGCCAATAGCAGAATGTTCTGTATGTTCTGGCAGACGCAGACCACAGTTGACTTACAATTTCCTTGTCTATTTCTTTCAGCTCTTTTCAGCTCCTTGTTGGCAAAGGTGAACTCTTTGCAAAGACGAAGCCTTTTTTTTTTTTCTTTTTTTCTGTCGACATCATTGTGTCTTGGCTCTCTATATCCTCACACGTTTCGGTACCAGCAACTGTGATTTCTACCATAATTTGAAACTTCAATTGTTCAGTCACTGCCAATATTTAAAATTAATATTTTATGGATCATTCTGACGTGTTGTATCATAATCAGTGAAACACTAACTCTTCCACCGGTATCTTAGATCTGTTTGAATTTGAAACTGCGTGCCACTTTCATCGTCAGCCTGTACGTCACGTGCCCTTTCACTCATAATACAACACTGAACTTTTTAAAAAACATAGAATAAATGTAAATAAATTTCATATATATGCATATGAAGTTTATTTAAGCTAATCATCCGTATCCCATTCGGGGGTATGGCCACCTGCCTGAGGTCGGGGAAACACTGAAGTAAACCCACAGTTCTCGTTTTTGTGAAGATATTTTACCCACTGAACTCACACGTTAAATCAGGCAGTTTGTCGCTGTGGGGGTGCATCATGCCGTCTGTTGAACGACTACGTCATTGCGTCCGTGCTCTCTAAAGGTGGTACAAGCATGTTGGTGAAATGAGTATCTCCCTTCAAAGAACAGGCGTCCGTAGTAAACCAAACGGGGCATTCGTTTTCGTTGATGATCCTCTCTACAATTTAGGGCGCAAAACTAACAACGATGAGCTTCTAGTTGGCAGAATACCGAGTTCACAGTGTAGCCTGAAATGCTAATTAACCAAAATGTGAATTTCTGTTCATTTCTGTAGATCAACGGGACATGTAGGTTAGGTGTCTGTGAGAAGCCCATGTCGAGAGTATTACTGATATTTCCTTTGTTTTGTACACTTGATAGGAATACCCTTCTTGTTCTTGGAACTCCCCCTCCCCTCCCCTGTACAGCCTGAAATCTTCACGGCATTAGCATCGCAGGCTTGTGTTGTTTGTCTTTCCATGAGACTTTGTGGGTTAGGACTACAGACTGCTGCTGTCTATGCTAGGCTCATGCTGAACTTCTTTTTGTTTTTTGTGTGTGTGTGTGTCCAGCTCTTTGTACGCCGAAGTCTCTGTGCTGGGTTCTAAATGCAACTTTTAACGAAAAATACGAAGGTCAGCCAACCTTGTCAACACACGATTATATCAGTATTGGAAAATCCTCCGAAAGTCCGCGTTATGTTTGACGATAGCCGTCACATTGTTGGGTCCCACAGAGAAAGATTGTGGTCACATTTCAAAGTAGTAAAATGTCAACTGCAGGTCAGAGACTGTCTGAAGTCAAGACACCAACACACTCATTCATCATAGCAGCCTAAGCGCTACTTCCCGCGTTGGCGCTTCAGCATTACACACAGAATCATCCATATGGACGCAATTCAAAGGGATACTAGGCGGGAGCTGACTCCAGCGTCAGGAAGGTGCCATTGCAGACTCAGAGCAGTTGTTTGGAAATGTTTAATACGAGCGATATACAGGAATGTCAAACATGAAGTATTAGCATAATGCTGTTTTGTGATGAGATTATTTTTTTGATTTTTTTTGTAGCAGAAATAGATTAGAGCGTGAATGTCGCTTCGGTAAGAACTGTCATTTGAAACACCAGTCTCTAATGCTAATACATTTTTCCTTTTTTTGTTTTTGTTTTTCGTTGTTGTTACTTGGCACACACATATCCAAAACCTGTGCAGGCTCGTACTCACTAGAGGAAAATGTGTACTCAATCAGCAAAGTATGGTTTTAATGCAGTTCTCTACTTTCCATCGTAACATTTTTACTTTTTTTTTTTTTTTTGCATTACAAATATGCATCTCTCTTTGCCAAATCTTTGTAATCAAATTTTAATTTTTAATTAATTCTAAAAAATGTATTTAAAATCTTGTCTAGTTTTTCCATCTGTTAGTTCAACGGTGGGCTGAAATTCAGCGTTTTGGTTTATGTACCCTATTAAACATTCTGTGTATGTTTTTACCAAATATGTTCTTCCTGCTAAAAAAGAAAAAAGAAAAAAAAAAAAAGAAGAAGCTCCATCTGATCTCTGCTGTCATACCAATCATTTTCTACATATCAGAACATGCAAGTCAAGACTGACGGGCCACTGTGAATGATATAGAGTAGGCCTACATTTTCTATTTTTACGCGAGTGGAATTTCATGTAAAGGTTGCAAGTTAGTATCTATTATATAGGTTGGTGTATGTTATGTTGATTGTATGTTATATTAGTTGTTAAATGCAGCTTTTACGCAAAATTGCATGTAACCTGTTATGATGAAATGTCTCAACTCACAGTGCTACCATTTTGTAAATAACTATTGGGTGTCAGGTTTTCTTACTTCAATTTTGCATTTCTTTCAGAAAACAGACAAGTAGGACTGTTAATAAAACGAACTGGATGGATTTTTGTAGGTTTCTCAATCCCAACGATCTTTTCACGTCACATGACACGGCGTATATTTTTAAAATAAGAATATAGAGGACACACTAAAACAAACAGCTCCTTAACAGATCTCATTACGATATCGCTCCGGTGAGTTTCTGAACTCGTTCCCGCTGTGTATGGACACGTAGACTGGTCCTGGTTGTGTCTCATTCTTCTGATACCTTCATTCCTTTCACTCGCTTGATCCTGAGCTCGTCACAATGTGGGGGAGACACGAAACGAAGGGGGGAAATCCAGGTAAATCCACTGACGAACTGCGAAGCACCAAGTTTATTCTGGTCTCCATGAATGTTCTTGCAGAGACTTGAATGTAATATATGTTAGTGTTAACCATCCTTTCTACCAGTATTATGGTGTTGCTTTAAACACATCCACTGACTGAACTTCTAAAAGATCAGACCTGTTGATTTGTTGACCAATAAAACTAAACTTTTCTGTGTTTCTATATGTCATGAATACTCTGCGACCAGTTAATTTGGTTATCAAACTGAGCTTTAACTAACCGCCGCCACAGCCGACCTGCCGCCACTCAATATGATCCAACTTTGTACACAATAGATTAAACAAATTTATGAAAATGTGCTGGCTAGTCTTGTGCACTTGTTGACCTAGAGGCTGCTTCCATGCGTGTTTTAATAGACTTTACATATTTACTGAACGTAGTGCTGCAGCGGATATTTGTGGAGCAGGTTTCCGGTGTTGTACGTGTTCCAGGGTTTCGTTGTGAGACTCGAGGCTTTCTTCAACTTTCAGATCAACAACAGTCAACAGGACGACTCGACAAGAATTTTATTTTGCAGCTGCAATCGAAAGCTGAAGTATTTGTATTTCAAGTCATGACCGCCAAGTCGAAAGTAGCAAGAAGTGATTCTGGTAGATTAATCAGCAGCTGGACCTGCTTGAGTTCCTTGAAGACGTTCCACCTCTCATCCAAAAGGCTTCATCAGCTCTGACTGACTAGTTGGGAGTTCCACATACTGATATCCTTAAGGAGCCATTAACACCTGAGTTTTGGCTTCAATTGGGGGTTTGTTGCTCCTCCCCCTCGTTTGAAACTCAGGTGTTAATGACTCCTTAAGGATCTAAGTCACTGCTACAGTCAGAAAGACAATATAAGCTGCTGACAGACCAATAGTCAGGATGGTCAAACGTCAACCAAGAATCACCAAAAAGCAGGTCTAGAGGTAAGTGTGTGTTACGTTGCCATGGGCAGAGAGGTTTCTGTGCAAGAAGGAAGTTGTTCCTCTAGAAGCAGCACCAACACACGTCAAAAATGGTAAAGAAGTGGATAAATTAGGCTAGAAGTAGGGCCATTTCATGGTTTCCATGTCCCTGTGCACAGACTGATAAGTGGACCATGGATGCGGCTCAGTTAATACTTCAGTAGAGCCTCACTGGTCTGCATTTCCCCTCATGCTGAGCACAGAAGAACACACGAGGAATCAGCAGCTGCTCACAGAATGGGCTGCAGCAGCCTGTACGTGATGATTCCTGAGGTCTGCTGGCCACCATGTGTCAACATAGCAGAGGATCTCAGGAGAAATGAGGACTTCCTGCTGTGTTTGAGCTCTGTTGATGAACACATGTCCAAAAAAAAGCTCCTCTGAGGTCCAGCAGTGAATTAAAACTCTTTTAATGATGAATTTTAAAGGTGTGGATGAGAATCTCCTCATACAGTCTCTCTTCATACCAAGCATTTGTTTTGGGCACATGTGCTGTCGGCATGCTTGTAGTTCAGACCGTCACAAAGTTTGGGCTCTATGTGGACGGTCTGAGCTGACGCTGGTGCATTTAAGGTTCTAGACTGGCCTCCCCAAAGTCCTGACTTGAACCTCATCAAGAACCTGTGGACTGTGCTGAAGAAACAAGTCTGTGACAGAAAGCCAACAAATTTAATTGAACTGCACCAAAAAGTGGTCAAAGATGCAACCAGAAGCTTGTGGATGGTTAACAAACGCTACAGTCATGTTAGTTGTAGACAGCTCTTCAGTGAATGCTCCACACCAGGCGACCTTTTTAATTGAGTTCAACTTAATAAAATGCCAAAAGAGAATTACTAAAGGTAGATGAAATATACTGATAAAACGAAGACGTGACCATGAATTAATTTAGCAACAATCAAACCTCGACCTAAACCGACATCATTCCAGTCAAAGCATGCGTGATGTTAAATGAGCCACACCATCATGTTTTGTGCTGAGCAGGTTTTCATTTGTTGTGCAACATGTGTGTAACTGCACATAAATGCAACAGATCCATCGTGTGTGTACATATGCAGCATGCTGAGGAAGCAGTCCTTGGTGATGATGTCCGGTTCGGTGCCTCGTGTCGCACCTCAACCCAAACATGACATCGTGTTTCAGTGCGTTAGTGGCGAACTGTACTCTGCACAACTTCACATCGTCACGGGACAGGAACTGTAAACATGGTTAACGAAGCAGATTGTCAGTGCTTAGCTTCAAAACAGTTTGAGGATTTTTCACAGTTTTCTACAAAGTATTCACGTGTGTCTCTTAGTCAAAGGCTGCTTTTACAAAAACGGTGGGCGGTGTGACGGTGCGTCGCGGGCGCTTCTAAGATCTGAAGTCCTTTTTACTGTACGGCCTGTTTCCCAAGATGCCGTTTACCTCGGATACAATGGACAGGGATAGCTTTGGAAGAATCTGTGGAGTGAGAGGAAAGAGTGCATTAGAGTAATTAAGGATTAAGAATAAAGAAGAGGACACGACGACGTCATACGCAGCGAGCGTGCTCAGTGTAGGTAAACACAGGTGTAAATGGTGTAATCTTAAGGTTTTGGTTTAAATGAATGTTTTCTGTAGGAAAGGCGATTCCACATCTGTCTTTGTTTTATACTCGTTGGATGCTTTTTGTCAGAAGTTTAAATGAAAATGAATGACCAGAACTAAAATGTTAGCTGTGGTTATGAAACTTTCAACAAAGTGGACGTATAGTCGTCCTCAAAAGTATTCACACCCTTAAATTAAAGAAAAGTCAAAATTCACAACAGTCACTAAATTAACTAGAAAACAAAAAAAGTAATAATAAATAAAAAATTGCTAAATTATAATTTAGTGAAATAAGACGTTGCTTTTGAATTATGGTTGGCAAGAATAATTTTAAAAAACAAACAAAACTGTCCCGGACAAATGAGAGCACTTTGCTGATGAGCAGTGAAATCCAAACACCTGTCAACAGGTGCAGAAGTCTGACTGAGAGTTACAGAAACACCTGATGATGGCAGTGATTGGCTCAAAGGGTTGTTCAGCTAAATATTAGTTTATCGGTCCCATCATGCTTGTTTTGTTTTTTTTTTTTTCTAAATATATATATATTTCTGTTAAACCACAATTCAGAAGCAACGTCATGATATTCATTAAATTTTTATTTATTATTACTTTTGTCAATTTCAGCTTATTTCAGTGACTAAAGCTGTTGTTTTCCTTCTTTAATGGGAGGCTGTGAACACATCTGAGGACGCCTGTACCTGCTGCCTGTGTGCTTTCTGACCTGAATTGCTCTGATATTCTCCATCAGCTGCTCAGTTTTGGACGCTCCCAGGAGGACAGAGTTCACCCTTTCGCTCCTCAGACACCAGGCTGTGGGAATTCACAGCAGACAAAGAACCTGTAAACGCAGTCCTTCAGCCGCTGTTGGGAAGTTGCCATGACTACAACACGGGCTGAAGAATTACAGTGCTGCGCAAATTTGTGTTCAGCATGATTCTCTAAATAGTTCTTCTGCTGTGTAAGAAAAACTTGGTTGACTCCCTGTTTTTGCACATTTGTTCATTTCTTATGAAAAAACAACACAGGGACGACTTGTTACCAAAGAACATACTTATGGATGGAATTAGCTATAATTAGTAAAGACAACTCATTTATAACAGCTGTTAGGGCAGAAGAATCAGGTAGTCGACCTCGTAGTAGGATATGAAAGACACAAAGACAGAGCAACACATCTGGTTTACCGATTGCCAGCTGTGGCAGAGTGCAGCCCAGTCGCTCAGCAACCGCCTGCAGCTCTTTTAACTTCACTTGCTGACGGTGGCCCTCCTCACTCAGGATCTTGTCCTTCATCCACTGGTAGCCCTGTTGAGACACAGAGCTCAATACGAAAGGCAGGACAGGTGTGCATAACTACTAGTTAGATGATTTAAGTGAACTGTTTAGTGACAAGAGGAGCACATCTAAAGTCTAAACTGAAAATTCGTTTCAACCAACTAAAGCTGTGAATCGTTTGTTCTTTTTATATTCAACTGATATTTAAAAATTGAGAAACTAAAAAAACAGATTTGCTGTATTGAATTTTAAATCCAACAAAGGAACACATGTAATGATCTTTTCCTACTTTAGATTTTATGTTCATGTCAAAATTAGAAAATGAAAAGAGGCAGGTCTGTGTCGCCTCTGTCCAACATGATGTTCAAGTTGATGGATGACAGGATAAAAAATATACAGAATACATTGCATTATTTTGAACATATTTTCTGAAAAAAAAAGAGAGGAAAAAAAAAAGAATTCACATGCTTGTACCATTTTTCCCTCCAACCAGTAATTGGTTTAAAACTAAAGCTGAATCAGAAAACGATTAGTTTTACTTTTTCATCGTTACAGACCTGAAGTCAGCCAACAGTCGTCCACTTAGTTTCTGTGTTGGCAGTGTGGACGAAGTGCGGATATTAGTGACAATTCAGATCAAGAATTTACACTAATTTAGTCTCATATAACACATCTATTCTAATCACTAAAGTGTAATTATTATTCCTTTCACCAAGATGTTTAAATAGAACGGCAGTGTTTTCACTAGCTTCTATGTGTTCTGGACGGGTCCAACAACATAGAGGTCCTGTACAGGAAGGGCCAAAGTCGTCTCCACCTGCTGAGGACGCTGAGGTCCTTTGGAGTGTGCAGGACTCTGCTCATTCTAGGACACTATGGTGCTATGCAGTGGTCTGCTGGGGAGCAGGGAGCACAGACAGGGACAGAAACAGGCTAAATAAACTGGTGAGGAGAGCCGGTTCTGTCCTGGACTGCTCCCTGGACCCCACAGAGGAGGTGGGTGAGAGGAGGATGTTAGCAAAGCTCACATCCATCATGGACAACCCCTCTCACCCGCTGCATGACACTGTGGGGGCTTTAAGTAGCAGCAGACTCAGACATCCTCTCTGCAGGAAAGAGCGCCACCGCAGGTCATTCCTGTAACTGCAGTATGACTTCACAACATCAGCATCAGTGGCTGATGTTCACCAAATGGACAACATTAACAGTTCATGGTCATAAACTCACTTTTGCACAATCTGATTTTCTTTTTCAGTGTAAATATCATGATCGCTTATTTATTGCTTATTTTCTTGTACTTTCTTTCTATATTTTGGATGCTGCTGTGGCAATTAATCTATGATTCTATTCTATTCTATTCTATTCTGTTATGCGAGTGAGTGATTTCAGATAAATACAGTATATTGCTGCTGAGGGTGAAGGCTACTGGCAGTAATAGATCTGAGCTGAGCATCATTCTTGCACGGTGGAGCGTTTCTAAGGCAGCCACTTCCCCTTCACTCAGAATAGTCCTCGTGGTCACACAGACAGACAAACGTCATCATAACGAACGATGGTTTTGACATCTTTATCTGTCAGAGTTTTAATTATCTGTCCCTTCATCTGAGGCAGCGTTACTGCTTGTTCGTAAAACGTTCATTTAAAAAGAAAAAAAAATCTTGGTTGGTGCTAAAATAACTTGAATACATACGAACAATGTGATCGATGCGTCAAACTGTAGGCAGCTGTTAGGTCCAAGTGATCAACCAGAATTAATCGTGCACATCAGTATGTGGTTGACTGTTATCTTTTTCTGGTTTTATTGATTTAGTGATTGTTCTTTTCTTTTTCCATTGCTGCTGTTTGTTGACTGGAGCTGCATGTGTGATGTGAAGACTGTTGTTCTTAGACTGAGCTGAACTTCATGGGTTTTAAGCCTGTTTGTTTTAAGATTTTAATGAGTTTTGATTGCTTCCTTGGTCAGCCTGTGTTGTTTTAAGCAGTGTAGGCGTATAAAACATTTTATTATAGTTCCTTGTTGAAATGTTCTAGAAGCAAACTGGTTGTAAAATAAAGTCTGATTGTGTAGATGTCTATCAGAAACGGACCTGCACTTCTCCCTGGTTCTGTTTTCTCAGTGAACAGAACAGTGACGACTTTATGGACTGAGTCACTAGTTTCAAAATGGTTTGATCACAACATGATGTTTAAATGATGGTCCCATTCAGAGTGGAAGATAAAACAGAACCATACGAGGGTGTGGCTGGTGAAACTCAACCCAGTCGCCCAATGGATTTGGTGGATTGGTAGCTAAGGAGGCGACTACTTTTAGAACAAGGTGTAGCTGGCCAGCATTGTTCTTTCAATACATGAAACCATTTAAAAGCTGCATTCTGTGTTTTCTTGGGTGATCTTTGTCTTATAATAAAATACTTAATAGTAATGCTCCAGTCAGAACTTTTCTTAGACACCCAGAAATACTTCTGTTATTTTTGGGGGAGGAAAAAAGCAAATACATGTGTCCTCTTTTTAAAAAACAAACAAAAAAAAAAGCATTTTATTGACTATTTCTTTGGTTGTGATCAAGTGGCCACATGATGTCCACTCTGTGTACTAAGTCTTGTGCTACTTGATGCTTATTTTCATTCCAAGAACATTTATTTATGTTGAAATGTAAATTATATTCCTCTCTTATTGCCATGTGTCACATGGGAAGGTAGCTGTCATGGTTTTGGTTTCTAGTTTTGTGTGATCACCGTGTCTGTTGCTCTGCGTTTCCCTCTGTTTGTGTCTCTACGTCCTCTTTCAGTTACTTCCTATTTCTGTGTTCCTGCTTTTTGTGATTGCCTGCTATATATATATATATATATAGTCCTTCATCTTCCCGTCAGCTGACAGTTCATCTGATCACCCACCTGTTCACCTGCCTGAGTTCTTCCTACTTTTTGTTCCACATGCTGTTCTTTTTTCTCTATTTAGTTAAGCTTTGACTCCTCCCTGCACTATGATAGATGTTTTAGTTATGTTTATAGCGACAAACGATACACAGATTTCCATTTGTTCTTTCATTTCAACATTCTATACCATTGTGTTGTGCTACAGTATACCACAAATATTTAGAACATAATATATCACTGTCGTATTTCTTTTGGGGCACCACAGATTGTGAACTACCTGCCTTCTGATTTAGGGAGACTAAAGTAAGAGGTTTGCTAAAATCAGAGGGACAACAGAGCTGGGAATACAGTAATTGTCTTATTTCTAAGAGTAAGTGATCTTCTATGTAGATAAAAACAAACTGATTAGAGACACACAAGGAAAATACAAGAATTAAAGAACGGCCGCGGTGCAGTAAATCAGTTTAACTGTGACCACTGCAGTGAAAGTAATGCTTAACTTCCAGTTAAGGCTAAATATAGGATGTTGCTAAAATAAGAACATGATGCAGGTTTTTCTTTATCATCCAGAGAAGTTACCCAGAGAAACCAGGACATTTTCTCTGGAACAACTACTAAAGGGTTTTCAACTGTGTTTTTAGTGCTGTGAAGAACACATACGTGTCCATTTACCTCCACTATATTGGGTTTGTGTTATGGAGGTAGTAACTTCAGGGAGAGACATCTGGAGGCCTGAATGAATCAAACAAAACTACATGCAAATACAGCTTTGGCTAAGTGAGATTTGTAACTTAATTAGCAAGGAAAATCTCTTGTCTGATCAAATGTATTTACTTGCTGTTAATTGCATCTCTGACTCTTTTAGCTGTTTCATCTCCACTGTGGTTACTTGTAGGACAAGTGCGGGTGTTACCTTAAGCGAAGCCCGTGAATAAGGGGGGATCCCACTGGTATATTTCCCTGAGATGATCCCACAGGCCAGTGGAGACCACGTCATAGCTCCAACACCTGCACGCCCAACATAGCAAACAAACAGAACTGAAGCTGAAATTGTGAAGTGAAGCAAGTCAAAGTAACGTTCCACAGCAGTCCACCAATACCGGTCGACAACAAAGATCAAGCATTAGCACGACTGAGTCTCAGTACAGAAGATAATACATAATGGTAGATAGTAATAAGTTTCTTTATTGTTTGAATTACTGGGAGAGATTTCCTGCTTACCAATCTTGTGGAAGAGTTCAGGAAGCTGCACTTCAACCTTTTCCCTTTGGAACATGTGATACTCTGCCTGTTCACATATAGGTGGGATCTGGTTGAACTGTCGTGCCACAGAGTAGGCCTCCTACAGGAAACCCAGGGAACAGTTAGTAAACAGGTTTTCAAAGAGCCCAACATAAATAACCCAATGGAAGGTCTACACAAACTAAACGTACATATACATTAAAAAAATTGAAAGATCTAAAAATAATCCAATAAATCAAAATCTGGAGAAGCCAACAAGTCCCAACTGATGGAAAGCACCAACTCTGGCATTACTTGAACTGCTTAGCCCTGGTTTCAAGCAACCAAACTGACCTATGAATGCATTTGCAGCCACTGTAGAACTCACCATGATCTCCATGGAGGTCCACCGTGATGTACCCCAGTACATGGCCATCCCTTGGTTGATCACATGTGTCATCGCCCTCACCGTCTCTACCAAAACAGCCCAAATGAGCTAAGTTACAAGGATTCAAATTACTACGGTGCAAAAAAAAAAAAAACAACATACAGCTATGAGGAAAATTGAGGTAAGCTCAAATGAGACAGACAAGCTACAGCATAAATACTTTAATATCACATATTGTTTGTGTAGTTTTTGGGTTCATGGATGAATGATTTGGTGGATGGATCATTTTACTAGTCAAAGTCTACAATTTACAATTTCATTTAGCAGATGCTTTTGTCCAAAGCGACGTACATCTGAGAGCAGATCACATTCATACACCAATGGCTAAACCAAACCTAGACAAAATATTTCAGTAAATGTATAAAGAGTAAATAAAAAACTGCACAACACTATTCGCACTGTACTGGGTAAAGCCCTCTGCTGGGCAAACACTCAGCATGTCAGGGCATTCTCAAATCTTGTTATACCAAATTTTCAAAAAGTCTCAGACAATAACTTCCTCCTATAGCAATGAAACAGCACTCTGCTCTGGTTTGGCCTGTTGGGGAGAAGCACACCTACCTTCTATAGGTGTATTAGGATCTGGTCGATTCGCAAAAACCACATCTATATACTCCAGCTGCAGTCTGCCTAGTGATGCTCTTAAACCTGTTTCATCAAAAATATACACAATATTATTATTATTATTATGCATTCATCCATCCAGCCTGTCAGAGCACTAACATGCCTGTTCAAAAGACATACTATATTATTCACAGCATTTTCATACTGATCTATTCTCATGGATTATGAACTGTCATCCTGGAGGAGACGACTCCTGATAGAATTCTTTCATCATAGGATGAAGGTGATTCACTGAGAACCAGTTGAGAACAACATACACCACTTAAAAGTGGGTGTGAAAGGGAGACCTCTTATATACAGTCGTGACTCGATGGAAGTAAACATGGATGGTAACGGTGGAGCGTATCTGCCACTCCCCCGCCGCCACCGACGATGGAAACAGAAGTGTGAGCGCTAACTAAACTAGCATCAGCAGCCAAGTACTGCCTGTGTGTTCTGGACACTTCCACCCCATCAGAGCGCTGCCCCGGGGTGGAAGTGTCCCCGACTGCGCCGAATGTTCTGATATTCATCATTAATTGGGCCTGAATATCCAGAGAGCAGAAAGTGCTATTGGGACCAGCCCTACTAGTTATTACAACAGCTATGAACAATAATTAACCACTAATGAGCCTTCCAGCATCAAGCCCTCCTTGTATCTGGACCTCCGTCTCGACAATCCGACAGCCTTGCTATCCGACATAAAAGAAGGTTTTATATTTAGTGTCGGATTATCGAGTCACGACTCTATATATTTATATTTAAATATGTATATATATATATATATATATATACGTTGGTGTGTCATGGTAGCTAAAATTCTCACCTTCAATTATATGTTTTCGAGATAATCCTCTTTCCATTTCTGCTCTGAAAAACAAACAGCAGTACAGTATTTTATGTTGTATATATCAATGCAATATTCTGGCATTTTAAATACATGCAGGCACAAAGCACAGAACCTAATTCTGTTAATATCTACTTTATAAATCAGCTGTGGATGATAACAGTTAGACAGGAAGAAGGTTTCATGTGGGAGCTAGTTACTAATGAGGCTGATTCATGTATTAACACTGTGTGGTTGACGGGGATTCCATGTGGTCTAAGACTAATGCAGAAAGCTTCATGTCTAAGTGGTAAAGTATCTAATTGCACATTTTATATCTATTTTTTTTTTGTTCAAGATAAAAACATTTAATGCCTGTTTGCTATTGCATTTACTTCTTTTGACTTTAAAAATTAACAAAATGTGTCATTTGTGATGTCAAAACTTCTACAGACAATGTTAATGTCCTCCTCAGTGACACTGTAGTGGCATGATAGGAAACTGAATTTCAAAGCTGGCGGGCAAATGATGTAATTATCAGCGAATAGATAGAAAGTTAGAACACACAGAGATTCATCCATCCTTTGGATTTTTCTCAGTATTGAAAAGTGGAACTTTCTGATTTCTACTCTTATATAGTGTACTTTGTATCCACATATGAATAGCAAAATAAAAAACACACAAACCCATATCAAGCCATCATTATTACTGTCAACGTCCTCTGTGTGGTAGCAGCCAAAAGAAATAAACATATAGCAACAGGCTTCTGTTTGGTTGAACATTTGAGCATTAAATACCACAGAACACAGAGAAAGTCTTGGCCAATCAGAGAGTAGAGTGTTCAGAATGAAGACTTGTGTAGATTCAGGAACTATAACTTAAAACCTAGAAATGGAACCTAGTTTGGCCTGTAACCATGTGGGTACCTTCCTAATAAACGAATGAACTGGGCCTCCTGTTTAGTCGTAGATGTTGTTTCAA